GCATGCTACAATCTTTACCCGAGTCATTTAGACAGCCGTTAGCACATGATTCTCCTTATGGGGACATGATATGTTTAATATGCTGCTGAGAATGTACCCCAGAAGAAGCGTATAGTATAGCTTTTTTTTGGGAAAGAGCCATTTCTCTGTTATGAACTCTCTTTTCCAAAGATGAGCGATTTCTCGATCAGATTTATTTATTTATTTTTATTATTATGTTGTTTCAGCAACATTAAATTTAAAAACTGTACTTTTGAATTAAAATATATATATTAATAATTTTAATAAATGACAAATTAAAAAGACATGAACATTTTTTTTGTATCGAAAAAATATCGAACTGTAACACCAAAGTATCGAACCGAACCGTGAATTTTGTGTATCGTTGCACCCCTAATAAAGAGCTAACATCTCCAAAATGTCAGGAGTAGTTAGTAATTACAAGAAGTGTTTGTGAACTAAAAATCAAGAATGTGGGATTCTGTAGGTCCGTGATTTGGAGAGCCCAGTGCGTGCTCCCAACGGGCCCCATACTTTGGGAACCTCTGATTTAATAATAATAATACTAATAATGATATATACTTTATTGATCTCCGTGGGGAAATTACTTGTTTTTCTCTGCATTTCACCCATTCACTCAGTGAAGCAGTGGGCAGCCACTAAGCAGGCGCCCGGGGAGCAGTGTGTAGGGACGGCACCGTTCAGTGGATTCAAACCCCCGACCTTCCAATCATGGGGCGGCCACTGTACCTACTGAGCTACCCACTAATTAGCCCGCTGATTTAACACATGCCTGCTCGTCGTGCAGCTTTGAATTTCTTGAAGAACTATATCTCATTTAAGTTTATTTCCCATGGCATAAAAATAGGTATGTGGTGTTAAGCAAGTGTTAAAAACAGTAGTTGAGATAAGTCTGGATAAACATTATGTTACTTGACAGTACTCAGGATTCTGCTGTACTCACCTGATGTCATCCTCATTGGCAAAGATAATGACTACTCGAGCATTGGGGTTCTCACTCAGCCTCCGGATAATCTTGTCAAACTCTCCAGATCTTGGTTCACGTGGTATTTTCACTGACTGGGAAATGCACAAACCACCTGATTGGAAAAAACAAACAAAACAAAAACAATGTTTCCAAATGTTTCATTAGGAGAACATGTTTACGATGCAATTTAACTCAAATTTTGCCTTTGTCTTCTTTTAACCCATATCTTTTTTTCAATCTTCTGGACTTTTTTTTTTTTTTTTATGATAAATGCACTATTAAATGTGCACTGGTGCAATATTTCACAGAATGAGGGATGCAAGGCATTTTAAAAAAAAAGGTTTTCCTTGGACAAAAAGAAGGCATTTTGGAGACGGGACTAACCATCAATTCAGGTTATGATTCTGACAGTGAGACCAGGGGGCAGTAGCATTTGCTACTACATACATTTTCTAACTGGGAACTGTTTCCTTTTGTTCTTGCATTTTTTTTTCTATTACATGGATTGTTTCAATTTAAAAAAAAAATCTGGTACTTGTCCCAGGATTGTACCACGTTTGAAAGGGAAGTAGGAAAAAAGAAACAGAAATGAAATACGTTACTTCAATTTCCAATTCAGTTAGTCAGATAATTGCTTCGGGGTAATATACAAGATTGTCCTGTGATATTGATTAGTTATCTATTTAGATAATGACCAGCAGCAACAGCAACTAGCAAATTCCGGCTGTTATATTTTAGGCATAGTGAAGCGGAAAACTGAAACGCTGTTTCAAAATTGGATGCAGTATTGAAATTTGCATCGCTGACTCTTTGAAGCTAATAATTTGAAAAATCCCATTAGCTTATTGAAGTTTTGGCCAATTTGGCCTTTATTTCATCCTAGAAAACAACAGTTTTAATAAAAAAGTTTTAACCACTGAATACATTTCAAGGGTAGAAATTTTGCAGTAAATTTCAAACTCTTTTTACTCCTCATTTATTTACTTTTATTTAAAAAATGTGGACTGTCTTGGTTCTACGTAAAACAAGATGACTGTAATGACACAGTACATGATGCTCTAACGGTTGAATGACAGTGCAGCTGCTTAGTGCTGTGCAGGTGGAAGGATTATTCTTTTACCACTTGGACAAATACAGATAGTTTAATGAAATTTCCCCTTGTGGGACTAATAAAGGTATCTTATCTTATTTTAACATTCAACTGGTGACAATTTGTTCCTGTCTAATTTGGTGATTTTCATGTGTTCAATGCACAAAGATTTTTTTCTATCCTTGGCTCAACTCTCTCATGCTGGTGTACACCCTGTCATCAATTTTTTTTAATGTAATTTTTTGAGAGGTGACAGATAACCACTTATTTTCACACCAACATTTTTTTTTAGAATCACTAATCAACCTAATAAAGAGGCCTTTCTAAGATTCAGACCTTCTTGCTATGAGACATTCAGTCTCACAGCAGATTTAAACCATGTAACTAGACTATCACATTAGTTTGGTTTGTTAGTTAGTAACAGCTTTCCCTTTCCTAGTTTATTCCATGGTAAATGGACTATAATATAATGTTTTTTTACTCCGACAGCACTTGAAACGCTTTCTGCACTACAAGCTGCAATCACAGACACATGCACACATGCAAACCCAAATGGATGAATAAAGCGCTACTTGTGTTTCTTTAGCTTGCCCGAAGACACTTTAACATAAATTATAGATGTAGAAACTGTAGATCAAACCACTAACCTTCTTAACAGCAAACAACACACTCTAACTTCTGAGCCACCAAAAAAAAAAGAAACTCAAAGAAAAGAGATTTATGAGATTAGAATTGTGTATTAACTGAGGACTGTAAAGGGTGAATCCATTTCATCAGCAGCCATGATGAAATTGCAACAATGTGGGAATGGCTGATGGGTTTTGCCAAGGAAATTATCATGAAAGAATATATGTACCAATTTATAGCTACAGCAATTCTCCATGGATCAATTTAAAGAGCATCCACACCTTCTTACATTCTATTGAACACAAATCTAAAGGCAAGAGGGGATGTCCCCTGGTTACCAACAAGCTAAGGCTGTTTAACTCCCAATGCAACATTTCAGGATAACTGTTTTGTCACCCTGCCAAAATGCCACAGAGAATATGCACATGCTAATGAATTTCCCTTTCGGGACCCAGTACAAAGCCCGCCCAATGAGCAATCAATGCAGAAATAATACCCCCCTAGTCCAGTTCATGGCAGTCATACTCACACCATAAAACAAAACCTGCCCCTGCTCAGTTACTAATAGGTTGTGAAAGTGGAAATATCAGTAAAAAATAGAGGATGCCACGAAATGAATGACGTTGGGCTACTTGACTCATGGTTACAAAAAGTCACATTTGGTTAAGTCAAACGGGAGATCAGTCAGTGGCTTGCACTATTGTTTTATTTTATCCTGGAGAAAATATAACAATGCTGTTCTACTGAAACCTTTTCTTGTTTTTCATGTATAGATTTCTGCTGGTCATGCATGTCATGAGTGCAACACAGCAGTTCCGGCTTACATTTAAATTCCCTTTTCAGTAAATGGATTAGAAGTTCTTTTACTGGAGAAACAGATTCATCCTGTTGTGTGCACTGGTTGATGTCTTGTTGTTATGTTTCCTTCTGCACTCAAGCAAAAGTTCAATCAAATCTGAACATCTAATTTACTTGTTTTTACATGCCAAAAAAGCACAACTTGAATATCACAATTAACCGAGTCATCATTTAGTAATCTGGAATTTCAAAGCTTCCAAAGCAGATGGCATTATACTCCACATCATCATAACACTCCTAATTTATATTTTAGGCAGGTGAAGTTAAGTTTATTTATTTTACGCTTTGGCTTTTGAGCACGTTGTAAGGTAGGTTTCTCTGTGAAGAGTAATGATTACTCAGGCAAGGTGGCATAGGCATGTTTTCAAAGCCATCTGTTTGCTGTCTGGTGTTGCAAGATTACACAACAAACTACTTTATCAAGCCAATAAAACTTTGTGAGCAGTTAGAGCACACTGCTCACAAAGTGATCTGGAAGACTTTCTTTAAACACGTTTCACATAGTTGTTCAATATTGATTATAGTAGCGAGCAATACTGGCTGTTCTGTTGTTGCCAAAATCTGATGTGAAGTTATGATATTGTAATATTTCTGAAAATTTCTTCTCAGTAAGCCTTGTTAACCAAACTGTCATCGGTCTGTTTAGTCAGTATAACTGCAGTCCTAGAAGTAAATCTTGTAGATAACCACTGGGCAAGGTTAGTGTACTAGCCTGAATAAAAGGGCGAGTTCATTATGTAATAGTGGAATGACAGATCTGTGTTTAGATGTGTTTAAGGAGAGGATTTGGAGTTTGTAGTAATGTTGACAGGTTGTCAGTCCATTTTGGTCCATTTATAGTTTGTCTTTAAGAGTAGGTTTTCACTAAAAGTAGTTAGTGTTCTGAATCTGCAGGAGATTCAGATGGCTCCTGCTATGTGTTTTACTGTCATGGAGGAAATGCATTCTTTATGAGCATGAAGAAACCTGACTGTTGCCGATGATGAGCTCTGTCCTCAGTTTTAACAAAAAGACAGAGTCAGAGTTACACTATGCAATTTTAAAAACTGAAATGGCATTGCTGGCTTCAATCAGTACTGAAAGTAATGAACCATGAACCCCTAATGGTTATTCACAGTCTCTCTTTGTGCTTCCCATCCTGTAGTTTTAATCATGGATCTACAAAGGTTAATGCGTGTAAATCTAGGGTTGTTTTAGTGAACGGTAAGTGGAATTAAATATTTAGAAGTATGATGGAAAGGTTGTACAGTATGTTATAAGTCATGATATTTGCGTATCTTTTTACAAAATAAAAGCTCCTGACGGTTCAGTCTTTGATTAAAGTGAAACAGAGGTTTATCTGCGTAACTCTCTGTCGTTACACTCACATCACATGGGAAATTTTGCAGCAGCTCGGCTCTCAGAGACTCTATCAATCATTAGACTCTATGTCTTTGCCTCACTGGTACTTCAGTCCCCCATTCCCACAACATCTGCTATATCGAAGCAGAGCACTCATCCCTTCCTTTTCTTCTCTTCTCACATCACGGCGGCAGGCTGCAGCATTGTTTAACTTGCACAGAGAATACCAGAAGGACCGGACGTGCACAAAACTGGGTCCTCCACGGGGCCACTGGTGTAACTCTGTTAGCGCTAGGGTACACATGGCAGTTTATTTCACCACTGATTTATCTATGCATTTGATTTTTTTCCTCTTTATTTTTCTTTTTACTATTGTGATATAACATGACTAAAGATATGGTTATTTGACTAATGGACATTAGTCAAATAACCACATCTTTAGTCATGGCTCAAATCCTAAGACGGAAGCAGCCACTGAGCAAGATACTTTTTTTTTTTTTCCAAAAAGACTATAGACTGATGCAGAGAAATATATTTATATATAAATATATGATTCAGCTATGCCAGGCAGCTCATGAATGGCATTTTTACACAACCTAAGTGGCTTTTAATTGGCCTAATTATAGGTCTTGCTTATTGCAAATTTTATATTAATATTATTAAATTAGACCAGTCTCTACAAGAATCAGATTTTTCAATAAACTACTCGCCTGATTCCATCTTGCTATCAGACAGGATGTAGTTAGAGGGATGCCTTGAAGGACTGGCCCCTTCTTATCTGTACACCACTTTTCAACACTTTCCTTAAACTCAGCAAGCTGACCAACAACATGCAGAGACAGTTATGAAATAACTAAATGCAACTGTAGAGTAATCCTATGAAAACGATGAAATGTACTTCTCCAGGTACATATTGAATTATAGTTACACTTTATTGTTGGCTACATTAAAACTACCTGTACAATAACAATCAGTGAAAGAGCAAAAGAGACTGAACTGCTGGGTTTCAACACCAAACACTGATCTTCAGTGTTGTAACTGTCCTGATGGATCTTTCAAATGTTCAAATACACGCCAGATGCAATGCGCCTACTTTTGATGCAGCTACTGTGAAAACCTTCAAGAGCTCTATGTGTTTCCTAACACTTATCCTATACAATTCTCAACTTCTGAGCCAAATTGAAAAATCACCTCTA